CCCCCCCCCCACCCCCCCCAGAGACACAGGAAAGTGCCAGGCAAATTAAGGCACGCCGACCATAGAAGCCCCTAAAAAATGACGCCCTTATTTCAACACCCAGGTCGCTTTCCTAAGGCGCTGGCTTTTGGTTCCCGTGGCGCTGTGGGCGGAGCCGGGTTGCAGCGCCGAGCATATCGCGAAGGACTTCCCTGCTTCTTCGACGGGCTTAGGGGGCTTAGGGTTTAAGAGTTCTATATCTTTCTCATGACAATGCATAATGTAAGTTCTATGTGGGCTTCATAAGGGGTCTTCGAGCACCGGTTCTGGTATGGGGTGTATGAGGGCTCTATATTTGGGCTTGTGTGTTCGGGCTTTGTTTTCTGGTTTCGGGCTCCGTGGTTTGATTCTGTGGATCGCCTTCTCGCCGCCCCGGCTGCCACACGCATCCCAACTGCACCACCTCCGACATTATGATAACGAAGATTGCGATGACAACGAGGATGTTGTTGTTTCATTAGAATATTCATAACAATGGGTGTCGGTTATGGCGGTGAGGTGATGGCGATGATGGTCATGATGCTAATGATGCTGCTGATAACAATGACGACAGCCATGACGATGACGATGGTGGGAGTGAGGGTGATGGTGGTGCGGCTGAGGTGACGTGACACCGCTCGGTGGTGGTGGCGCTAATCATCTCACTTCAAACTGGTTTAGGGTTTAGGGTGTAGGGCCCGAAACCCTAATCAGACAAGCCCCACCGAGGCTATGGATCCGGGTGCTCGGCGAATTTGTGACTTCCGATCTCTGCAGCGGGACGACCCGCTCCAGAAGCTTCTCTGAATTATTGCTCCGGAACCCTAAACCCTAGCATAGGTGTCGGAATAGCTACCGATACGCCGATAGCGGTACGCGAAGCCTCTACCCCAAGGCATGGAGGTGGGTTCCGGGTTCAGGGTTCCTGCTGTAGGGGTTTAGGGTTTAGGGGTTTAGGTTTCCTGGTTTAGGGTTAAGAAGCTTTAGGCCCAAAAGCCTTTTAGCTGCGAAGGCTGCGAGTTCAACCCTCAACCATAGACCATAACCCTTAAACCTGCAAGACTCTGCTCCTAAACACCCCTAAACCTTGAACCCTTACACCCTAAACTCTACATCCCGAACCTTAAATCCTAAAGCCCTACACCCTGGGATAACTCCGAGGAGTTTCAAGAACGCCCTTCAGACGGGGAGACGCAGCCGGCACTGGTTGACGTATTAAGGTTTAGGGTTTAGGGTCCTTTTAGGGTTGCTGCTAGGAGTTTAGAGTTTATTTTGTTCAGGGTAAGACTTTAGGTTTGGGGGTTTTGGGTCTGTGGTTTAGGGTTTAGGATCTGGGTCTGCGGTTCAGGATGTTGCAAATTCAAGCTCGAACTCAGCCTTTCTAAAGAGATCCTTGGCGAAGGCTGATAGAGTCTCTTGTAGAACGAGCCCTTTCGAGGGCTTAGGGCTTAGGGTCAGGTTATTCAGCGGTTGATTCCGAGTATAGTATTTCCCTAAACCCTAAACCCCAAACCCTAAACCACCTATTTGTCATGGAGGCCTGCAACCATGGTAGCAATCCCCCGTCTGCCTCCCGTATGGTTACAGTTATGCTGCATCACACACCCAAAACATTCTTTTCTGATTATTCAGGCCGCCTTTCATCGGTTGCTGGGGCTTAATATGGGCGTGGGAATGCAAAGCATTTAGGGTTTAGGGTTTAGGGTTTAGGGTTCAGGGGTTTAGGGGTTTAGGGCTTAGGGTTTAGGGTTAGAGTATCGCCTTGTGGAGATACAAGCCTTAGACTTACAGTATAACATACCCCAAAGCCCTATTCTAATTGTTAGTACCCGAGGCCCTCGTAGCAGCCCTCAGGAGCCGTTACAGTTTGCATCTTTGGGGTTGGGGTTTAGGGTTTGAAGGCGTTCCGGGGCTAGGGTTAAGGATTTGAGGCTTCATGGGTTGTTTTTGCAGTCTGAGGATTTTTAGGGAGTGGGGTTTGAGAGCTTTTAGCATTTAGGGTTTCAGTGTTTTCTAGGTGGTTTCGAGATATTCCCCGCACCCTCGGCTCAAACCACAAGGCCCCACAAACTTAAGGCCACAGCCCAAAGCTAAAACCTCAACTCAATTCTGAAACCCTGAACCCTAACGTAGGGGCCTTAATAATTACCTATACTATTTTGGGGGTTCCGTATTTTGAGTTATAGTATTATATACCCCAAAACCCCAATTCTAATTGTGTAGGCCCCTACACTATGACCTAGGAGGCTCCACCCGACACCCGCAACCCCACACTTCAGATAACGCCTTGGCTGCGCCTCTGTCTGACATGTGCCGCCAGCACGGGTCTTGAAGCCCTACTTGAGGGAAGCGCATTAGGGGTCCCCCGAAACCCTAAACCCCTATGGAATAAGACACCCTCGCAAGGTTTCGTTCCGTAGATGGGGTCGCTATATTCTGCCGTATGCCTGCAGGATCGGGTGACTTGGTAGGTTTGGGGTTTAGGGTTTAGGGTTTAGGGGGTACACGTTGGCCGTGGTTTGGGTACTTAATGATCAGTTCGTGTTCTTGTAACCTACTGACCCACTCTGGGCCTCCATGTGCACGCCGAAGATCAGTGGAGCTAGTTCCTGGGCTTTCAGCGTGGAAGTTCTAAACCCAAAAATCCCCGAGCCCTGCACCCATGAAGCCCTAAACCGCAAGCCCTACACCCGTAGGCCCGTAGAGCCCTAAACTTAAGTCTAGATTCCTTGCTCCCAGGAATTTTGTGGACGCAGAGGTCTTCTTCGAAAAGATCTCTTTGGTGGGTCTCCCACGAAGCTCTTGGGGCTATGCCATGCTGGTTCAAGGAGCCCCGAAACGAGTTTCAAGGGTTTTTTTGTAGCCCTAAACCCGAAACCCTAAGTTTCTACAAGGACTCTACAAGGGTTTGGGGGTTCCTTTCAAGGGATCATTATGAATCATATATCATAAGGGGATTTATGGCTTCTTGGTTTTATGGATTATAATAGGGTTCCCGAAAGGTTCTTGCTCAACAACTCTTGCTGAACCATGCTTGAAGTATGTGCAAGAGGCCAAACAGGCCTCAGGTACAGTCCCCACGCCTACGACCGCACGTCTCTGAACCCAACAGCCTTAAAGTCCTCTAACACTAGAGCCCCATCGTTAATAGACGCCAAGAGCCCCTCTGCCATAAGCCCTGCACCTGATGGTTTAGGGTATATAGGGTTTTTCCCGAACCCTCAAACTTCGGTATCTATAGCATCGATTACAGCTTCAGCTTCGGGGAAGGAATCCTGAACCCCCAAGCCGCAGAAAGGGTCTGTCATCCTAAGGATCCGCCGCACCCTAAGCCCGAGATCTTCAACCCTAAGCCCCTTAAACCTTTCTAACCCCAAAACCCCAAGCCCAAAACCTTAAACCCCAAACCCCAAAACCCCGAAACCCCAAAAACCCCGAAACCCCAAGACCCCAAACTTAAGAACTAAACCCTAGACTTAAGAACCCTGAAGCCCCAAGACCCTAAACTTAAGAACTAAATCCTAAACTTAAGAACCCTGAAGCCCCCAAACCAGAGCTCCGAACCGGCAGGTTGGGCCCGACAGGGCAACCTCCAGGGCGCTCAAAGGTGGCTGGCGCGGATGGTGGCGGATGGGTGCTTTGGGCTTAGGGCTTTTGGGGTTTGGATGGGGTTTTGGGGTTTAGGGGTTTAGGGATGTTTAGGGATGTTTAGGGATGTTTAGGGATGTTTAGGGATGTTTAGGGATGTTTAGGGATGTTTAGGGGTTTAGGGGTTTAGGGTAGGGTTTAGGGTGGGCTCAGGCTTTTGCGGATTTGGCATCTTGGAGGGCGAGACTTTAGGGTTCGGGCTGCGGGGCTTGAGGCTCTGTGCTTAGAGATTTCAGGATGTGATAGAGTCTAGGGGTGCAGGTCTTCTCGGAATACCCAAACCCTAAACCCTAAACCCTAAGCCCTAAACCCTAAACCCTAAACCCTAAACCCTAAACCATAGAGCTTTGAAGAACTTTGCACTGACTGTTGGGACCCTGTCTTCGGAGGCTTTTCCAAACCAGAATCCTTTTGCTTTGTTTTTTTTGCATGGCGATCGAGGCTACGGCATCTAGAAGGCTAGTTATTGGGAGTTGTTAGGCCTCAGTGGTCGTTAAGGCATTAAGCCATGTTCGGTGCTTTGAGGGTTTAGGGCTTAGTCTTTTGTCTTACGCCGATCAGGACAGGGTTTACAGGGTTGGCAGCTTGAGGATCTTGAAGGCTTACGTCCCTAAACCCTAGACACGAAAATCCTAAACAGTAGACCCTGAAAGACAAAGGGATAGTGTGTGATCTGGAGGTACCGCTGCAAGGGCCGAATCCTCCTTTGCAGACTTGCATTACTTCACCGTTTGGTTGAGGCTTTCGTCTCCCCACACTTTCTTGCCGCCGCGCAGGGTGTAGTTATCTTGTTCGGGCGGGAGGGGGAAGCGTGGTGCAGGGCATCTTAACCCGTTTATGTTTATATATAGATATACATACCTGCATACATGCGTACATACCTGCATACACACGTACATACATACATACATCTGTGCATAGGTACATATGTACATATATATATATATATGCTTGATATACTTATTACCTTGTGCTTGGGCCGGTTTGTGGTTTGAGGTCCTAGCATCAGAGTTAGGGATGGGGTTTCGGGGTGTCGTGACGCAGCCCTAAACCTGCCATGGCTTCGGGCAGCCCAGGTGCTACGTGCCGGGTAAAAAGAGCGGCCCTCTAAAAGCCGTGTAGAGGTTAAGAAAACGGCCTATTTCGTTCATCTTAGCTCTAGACTCTGCGACCCATAAATCGCTGACCTTTCATCCTGTCGCACTCTTCGGAAAGTTCAGCTTTCATGTTTCCGTCGGCCGTTTAGCAAGCAAGCACCCGGAGTCTGGGACCCTCAGCCCATGTCGAGTCGCCAGAGACACCAGAGCCCTAGGTACACGCCTCCGGAACGCTGCTACCTCACCCTGATCTCCGAACATTGCAAAGCAGGCTGTGTTGCTGTTGAAGCTACCTTCACCATGCTGTCTACTTCGGTTTAGGGTTTAGTAGTAAGGAGAAGCGTACTTGGTCGACATGCAGCAACTGCAATCGAAGGTCTAGGCAAAAGGAATTCCCAAAAATCCAGAGGCTAGGCCTTAGTCAACCACTAAACGCCGATACCCTGTATCTTCTAAGCCGCCCGGCCTTAATCTGAACTTTTTCCACGATCCCCTTGCCCTAAGCCCCAAGGCCCAACCCTTAAACCTGCAGAAGTAAACCTAAACCCTCAACTCTAGAATCCTAAACCCTAAACCCTAAAATCCTAAACCATAAACCATAAACCCTAGACCCTAAACTGCAACCCCTAAACCTAGCGCACACGTTCCCTCTGGAAGCCTCTGAAATAGGGGTTCACCCTCAACCCTATATCCTTAAACCCCAAACCCTTAAACCCTTAAACCCTAAACCCCTTAACCCTAAACCCTATACCCTAAACCCTAAACCCTCAACCCTAAACCTCCAAACCAAACAGCCGTTGCATCTTGGGCCCTGCGGCCTCAGCATGGGGCCCCGCGCAAACCTACCTTTAAGGTTCCTGATTATGGGTTTAGGGTTTAGGGTTCAGGGGTTCGAGGTTCCTTGTTATGACTTCCTTATTATGATTTCCTTCAAGGGCTTCTGCAAGGGGCTTGGGTTTTTTTTTGTTGTGGGTTGTGGGCCGCCCTTCAAGGATCAGGGGACCTTTGCAAGTAGGGTTATAATCAGGGTAGCTGCATTGAGAAGTTCTTAAATAGTGTATCTAAGAAATCAAAGTGATTCTCAAAGTAAGTCCCATAGGCCTCAAGTACACCAAAAACTCCCAAACCCTTAAAGCCCCTAAACCCTAAGCCCTAAACCCCGACCCGTTCAGACTTGGAAGCCTCCAGAATTGAGTTCTGCAGCCATCGGACGTAGTCCCTCCCCGACCTCAAGCACGGTTTAGGGTTTAGGGTTTAGGGTTTAGGGTTCAACAGAGATCTGAAATCCGACAGGCCTTTGGTTTAGGGTTTAGGGTTGGTCCTAAACCCGAAACCATAAGCTTAACACCCGAAGCCCTAAACCCTAGACCGCGGGAGGGGAAGGGGCTACTGCACTTAAGAAAAAACTTAAATCCTGAACCTGAAATCCTGAACCCAAAATCCTGAGCCCTAAATCCTACACCTTACATCCTGGACCCTAAATCCTGAACCCTAAATTTTCAATCCTGAGTCCGAAATCCTACACCTTACGGACCGGAGCGTTGTGACTCCACTGCCTCCAGGCGAGCTTTCTTCCGCGGAGTCTCTGCTATCCGAGCTGCTTCGGCCGGTTTACCCGAAGAAGGCGAAAACGGTCGGATGCACACTGCTGATCCTCGGATTAGGGTTTAGGGTTTAGGGTTTAGGGTTTAGGGTTGTACTTGGTGTATTTTCCAATTCTGGGCTTGAGGATTTAGGGTTTGGGGTTTCGGGGTGTAGGTTTTAGGTTATTTGGGTTCAGGGGTTTGGGCTTTAGGGTTTTGGGTTTAGCGGTTCCGGGATCCAGGCTCTAGCGTTTAGTGGTTTAGGGGTGTAGGGTCTAGGCTTTAGGACGCTTAGGGCCGAAGTCAGCCCCCTGTTGGCCTAGGATTGTCGCTTACGGCAAGCTGGGGAAGTGCAAAGAAGCAGAGAGCGTGATGCGCCGGATGGAGGACGAGGGGTTGCTGGGTTTAGACTTTAGAGTTTCATACAGGAGGTGGGAGCTGTTAGTTAGCCTTTTTGTATCATAGTCCCTATATAGGTATACAAAACCTACCCCCAAAAAACCCGAATTCAACTCATAAGTCCTAAACTCCTAAAGCCTGAATCCCAATACTTTCAAAGCCTTACAATCAGAATCAAGAGCCCGGAACTACTACACAATCAAGGCGATCTCGATCTCCTTCTGTTTCGGGAGCCTTCATCCCAAAGTTTCAGAAGGCTTCGCAGAGTGTAGGTTATAGGTTACGAGCCAGGTTGGAAGCAAGGAAATGAGTACTTCCAGTTGGAGTAGGGTAATCCCTTTTGGGTGTTAGTTTTTTGGAGACATTCTCAACACGCGAAATTCAAAGCTCCTGTATAGAACTCCTACAAAACCTTAATTAGAATCGAAACACCGTATAAAGGCTTAAGTTCCTTGACAGAAACAAATCTAGCGCTAAACCCTAGCCTTGTATCACCCGAAAGCCTGGAATTTGGAGCATGTTAGAAACCCTAAACCCTTAAACCCTAAACCCCTAAGCCCGAAACCCCTTAACCCGTAACCCTAAACCCCCTAAACCCTAAACCCGAAAACCCGAAAATAGAGGAGTGCCACGTCAAGGCATCCTTGGCAACTTGTCCTGAGGTTTCACGCTTTAACTTTCGTGGCGTCCTGCAAGAGCCTGCAGGCTAGGGTTTAGGGTCGAGGGTGGAGGGCTTGGGAATTCTTGAGGGTGTAGCTCAGGGTGGTTTCATGGGATTTTGGGTTCGGGGTTCAATCTCCAATGGGGCGGCGCAAGGCCCTGAATAGGGTCTTCCTCTGACAATTCCTGATGGTCTTGCCTTCTTGTCCCGGTACATCACTCTAAACCGTATTCGAGTTACTAAGACCCCAGTGCTATGATGCTATGCCCCTTAAATTATCCCATATCACAGCAAGCAGGGGAGCAACTGCTTATGAAAACCGTTGTTCAGGATCAGAAAGCACCCAAACGGTTTAGGATTTAGGGTTTAAGGTTGTGACTTCAGGGGTGGTTTAAACATCCGTCATGTTAAGTAATATCTATGTTTTATTTATGATTTGGATATGGTTCGTATTTACGAGAAATCTATGACATATAAATATGACTCTACTATGATTTTACTATGCTTGGAACTACGGAAAGATTATGGAAACTATGTTCGGAACTATGACATGTTTTATGAAAATTATATGGTTTCCGAATAATTAAGGAACCCCAATCACATTGTAAATGGAAAGGAATGAGGATACGTCTCACCTATGATTATGATACTTATTCCTGGCTTGTCCAGATATACAGTCTCGAAAGTGATTAAAGTGGGAGCTAAGTTGGGAGTCGAAGGGAAACCATAGTCGAATCCTAGTCTGCCAGGAGCCACTTTCCAGCTTCATACATGGCCAACCATATTGAACCTATATCCAAATCGTAAAAGCACTTATTCAGGAAAACCGTTTTTTGACCACCACCTCAAGTCACAAGTTTAGGGGTGGGGTATCCACAGCTATTGGCTTACTTACAGAGGGAGCCTGAGATATCCTAACAGCTTGGCTTGGGATGTTTATGTAAGTGCTTTTTGGGAGTCCCATGCGTCATCTAAAACAAGCCCTAAGCCCCATAAACCTCTAAATCCAAAGCCCCATGCCCCTAAACCCTAAACCAGCTCAGGTGAGTTTCGGCGCGATGATCGATGCCTGCGCAAAAGCAGGGCTGCCCGAGAAAGCGTTTCAGTGGCACACCCAAATGCTTGAAGAGGGCCTGCCTCCGAATGTTCGCACCTTACTAGCTGACTGAGTACACTTTCCATACACTTTTTGGGATAGTATGATCCCCCTATAGTCTCCACTGTAGTTCCTTTTTGGGGATACCTTATAAAATCCTTATTATATTATTGGTTAAACCCGAAAAAGGAACTACAATGGAGACTATAGGCCTGATACAGCTGAAAGTGCACACTTTTGGGGCTTGTTCACTCGGGAACTGAGGCACTTTCACTGCCTTGATCAATGCTTGTGCGAAGGTCGGCGACATCAACGGTGCTCTAGGTGGGGCGGATGATTCGACATGACGGGTGCCTGGTATGCCCTAAACCCTAAGCCCCGAACTCCAAACCTAATTCCCAAGCTGCAAGCTAAGCTCTAGACCCTTGAACCTGAAGCTACGAAGCCTTCAACGAACATCCAGTGCTATCCAGTTGGGAGAAGCTGGCAGGTGTTATGCAAAGCATGGAGGCAGTCGGCGTGCTCGCCGACACGGTGACCTACAGCAGCCTGCTGGATGCCTGCGCGAAGCAAGGCGCTGTGAAGCCCAAAGCGCCAAACAACAGCTTTGTGCAGACTCGGTTGCAGTGCGCTCGAGTCCTTAAAGTTTAAAGCACGAATCCTCAACTTTAGACAGAGTCTTGTTGGATCCCCAAGGTGACCCGGAGTGTGCGCAGCAGATCTTCGAAATCATGCGCCAGCAGGGCGTTCAGCCAAACATTGTGTCCTACACTTCTCTGGCACGAGCCGTGGCTGTCTGTTTAGGCGTCGGAGTTTTCGTGGGAAGCGCTCTGATTCTATGAACTCACCGAAACCGGAAGCCCAAACCCAAAAGAAGCCCATAATGGCTCAGTTGAAAACCCTCTATACACACGTACGGAGTCCAAGCCGCAAGCCGTTGTTTACTTCCTGTTCTTTTTTGGATTTGGGGGTTCCCGAAGATTTCCCTGTCTGGTCCAGTTGGAGGTGCAGGTTTGGGGTTTCGGGTTTACGGTTTAGGCTTTAGCATTTAGTGTTTAGGGTTTAGGGTTTAGGGCTAGGGGACTTAGAATGTGACAGTGGGTCTACTTAATTAAGGTCGAAACAATTGATTATCCAGGATGGTCAATAAAAATACGATTTGTTCGCATTGATAAACCGCAAGTTCAATGATATGCCTTTCTTGGATACAACTTCCACGTTTGAGGAGGCGCATCGCATAGTGGCTATGACATAGGCCCCTACAGCTTTTTCTAATGTTTCAGCAACGAATGAATTTAGACTTTCTCCACTGCTCTTTACCCTAAACCCGAAACCCTAAACCCTAAACCCTGAACCCTAGATCCAGCCTAGCATCAAACAGTATGGCCTTCTCTGAGACCACGAGGAGCAGTGGCCTAACTTCCAGTGCAGGGTTTTCTGGTCTGAAGTGTCTGTGTAGTTTACCCTAAGGGTCCATATATACTACCATTATGGAATTAGGCCCCCCCAAACCCTAATATGAATGGTCTTTTGGGACCCAATTCCATAGTGGTAGTATATATGGACCCTCTGAGTTAGGGGTCTAGGATTTACAGCCATTGCGCTGAGTATAGGTGTTAGGACTTTGCAGTTTGCCGGGCTGCGCTTGGACTAAACCCGACATCCCAAACCCAGAACCCCAAACCCCAAAGGCCCTGCACCCCAAATCCCAACTCCAAGCCCTAAACCCTAAACCCTAAGAAAGCATTGCCGGCCCAGGAGCATATGCACTCAAGGGCATGTGGTGCGAGGTTGAGCACCTAGGCGACTGCCTGGAGAAGGACCAGCACCCCAAGGCTCTATAACCTAACTCTTTGCGGCAAAGGCCTATAGTATGGTTTAGGATTTATGGCCAAACTCTTTGGGGCCTTAAACGGTTTAGGGTTTGCTAGAACCAAACTCTTGCTATGGTGTAGGGCTTAGGGTCTGCACCCCAACTCTTCGCGTTTCGAACGGGGTTCATGATTCTTTACATGGCGGAGGTTTTAGATTTGGATTCTGGGTTTCGGGGGGTAAACGGCCTTGCACTGGGTTTTGTGGACACTCTACACAGGCCCATGCTATCGGTTCAAACCTGAACCCTGAACCGTCTCACCGAATTTAGGGTTTAGCATCCAACACGACGCTGTTGGGTTCTTTACCACGTATGCGTTTCAGAGGTTCAGGAGTCAGGTGGTCGGCGCGAAGGTTTACGATTTTGGATGCCCTAAACCCTAAACCCTAAACCCTAAACCCTAAACCCTAAACCCCATGAAGCCTCATCCCCAAGCCTGCAGCCCCAAGCCGCGACGAGCTCGAATTCCTCGCCGATCCTCCGCCCCAAAGCTTATGAGCCCTGTGAGTCCGTCAACCATAGACACATGGGTGGTTGTCAAAATTAGGGTCCCTTTTGGGGTCCTTATAATAATACGGCACCTAATATTTAGGGTACCCAAAAAGGGACCATAATTTTGACAACTACCCACATGAAGCCCTGTCTGTAGAAGCCTTGCTTTACAGCAGGATTTGTTGTAAACCTCATATGTCATATGGGTAGTTCTTTAAATTAGGGCCCCTTTTCAGGTCCACTATAGTACGGCACCCATATAAAGAAAACCCTAAAAGTGACCCTAATTTGGAGAACTACCCATATAGTTTTTTTACATATAAGCCTTATAGTATACCCGACAGTAAGGCGTAGAGAATCCTGAACCCTAAACCCTTGCACCCTAAGCCTTCAACCCCAAACCCTTACAACCTGAACCCTACACCCTAAACCCTGAGCCCTTATAGGGTTTAGGGTCTAGGGGCCCTTGA